CTTTCCTATCTCTATCATTGTGGCGTTCATGGCACGCTGGGTTTCTGATTGCACAAGGAAATGGCATTTGACTGAAGACGTTTGGTGTTTGTAAGGGAAGTTGTTCCTGAGCCAAACCACTCCTTTGGAGCACAGCAAAGAGTCGCAGCACCGTGACGGGTGGTTTTGTAAAGTGTAGGATCCTCAGTGAAATTACCCTGGGCCTCTCCATCCAGGTCCTCCGTTGTACGACAAAAAACAATGTATGTGACAGATTGGATAAAATCTTCACTGACTGTCCCAGCTCAACTTAAACCAAGTATTTTCTTTTGCCACCTGATAGCAGTCCCTTGCTGCCAGAAAAACTTTTTGCAATCAGGAAAGAAAAGAAGCCAAGACATGGAGTATTAAGTAATCATTTATAATTCATTTTCTTCAGATTAAAATAATTTTCTGAAATCTTGTAGGGTTTGCTTGTTTTATATCAGGTTCTTAGACAGCACTTACATTACACATGCCCACACTCAGAAAAGATTATTTCACCCCATGTGTTTACTGTCATTATTCTTTTGAGTGTGTGCCACTTGATTCTGTAAAACATTAAATATGCCAGAGGAAATACCAAAGGTGAAGATCTTGAATGCTGCTAGTGTTACAAAAGATAAATAAGCTGAAAGCGTTGACATGACAGCCTGAGATACCATAACAAGCTGCGGGTTTTCTCCACTCCAAAACTGCTTTCAAGCTATGGTCTTTTCTACAGCAAGATGGGAGGGCGAGGAAGGGCTGAAATAAAATACTGAATGAGAAGAAAATATTTTTAGCTTTTACCAGCAAACTTTTCAAGCCTGATGTGCTTTTCACCCATTCTGCTGCTCAGCAGAGACAGGACAACCCATTCACTGGTGAGAAAGCATGTCCATGTGTACGCAGCCCTCCCCAAAGGCAGTCAGAGGATATGGCTGTGTCAGTCTGGGGGTGCAGAGCTCTTCCAGACAGAAACTGCCAATGGCTGTAGCCCAGGGGTGGTGGGCAGCGGATGCTTCTGTCCGTGACTCTGCTTTCGTTTCCTCTTCTCCCCCTTTCACGTCCTCCCCTTCTCTCCCACTCTTACCTGCACCTGCCAAAAGTAAGTCCGGCTTCATCCTGCCTTTGGGTCCAGTTTATGCAGCAATGGCCACCTTCTGTTTTGCAGCTGAGATATATATAGAGAAAATCACATCTGATTCTTTGGCTGTTCAGAGCAGGGTTTGTTTGGGAGGCGCCTTGGAGTCTCATGCACTCTGCTTTAAGGCTGGCAACACAGTGTTCATTTTGGAAGAGGAGGTTAGTATCTGCCTTGGGGGGCTGGTGAGGATAACCCCCTGTCCTCAGACTCCACTTTCTGCTTTTGTAATCTCAGCCCATCCTGGCCTGATGTTTCTGATTGCCCTGCCAAGGGCTCAGCAGCTGCTTTTGTCTCTGCAGTCGGCTCTTTCCTCTTCTCTGAAGGCTTTTTTTGGCTTGGTGCCTCTACTCTGTCTGTCCCTTGGCCACTATCGTCTGTGGCACTGGATGTTACCTGCACGGCCGGCTCCAGTTGAAGGGGCTCATTGCTCTTCTTCCACCTCCGGGCCCCTGACCGTGTATTGAATTCATACATTTTGCCAGTAACTTGCAAGGGAGAAAAGGCAACCGATAAAAATCAT